ACACACACACACACACTGGCCATATTATGCCGTCTACCCCATGGTTTTTCCTCCCATCATGACCTGCAGACGTTCCTGTGGTTCACCAGGTGCCCAACGTGGCCGAGCGCCTGGCGGCCTCCCTGGGCTCTCTGGCCGAGGCAGTGGAACCGGTCGCGTGGCGCCCACGTGGATCCATGGAGATGGCGCCCCAAAGAGCTTGTGGGGTGGACAGGTTCACGTGGTGGCCAGGTGGTTCGTGTGTTGGAAAATCCCTTCGCAGGCCCTGGAGGGCTTGGATTCCAATGTGTGGCAGCCTGGACGCTGGCTCATCGGGCGTAGGTTGAAGCTGCAACTGAAGCATCGGGTGATGTGGCGAACCTTGGTTACACTCACTGCAGTTCTTAAAAACTGAAGAAGTTGGTTGTCGCCCTGGTGGTGAAGTTTGTAGTTGCCCTGGTGGAGCGTAGAGCGTATATGTATCTTCTTTGACACCCACATGCACGCAGTGAATCTGCTCGTGAACCAGGACATTTGACAACAAGTCCGGTCCAAGCAGTAAATTCCTTTGTTGTAAAGCATTGTCTTAGCCCCGAAGCATTTGGTCTTTACCGTAAGCCTGTGAGCTCATCATCCTGTTCCTTGGACGAATTGTTCGGATGCCCGAATCTGTCTGAGGATATGCCCATCAGTCGCGGATCTCAGAATTCGGAGAGAGGGCCTACCAATCATTCGAGCGGGTGCTGTGCCCTGCGGGCCTCAAAAACACCCGTTCCCTGGTTTTGACATAGGTAAGTGGCACACAGCCTTTGAAGAGCAAAAACCCAGTTCCTGCTGTGCATGGGCACAGACCCCTTTTTGTACAAGATGTTTGTGGAGGCACCTCAAGATCGCCCAAAACATTGACTTCATCACTTCATCTTCACAACAGGGTGTTCTCTCTTCGTTTCTGAAGCTGGGAGGTGTGCCAACCTGACAGGTGCAGCTCGCTGCGTTCGTTTGAAGCGCTGAGGCCCCAACCATGCCAATCTGCCGGTGGCATTCGGAGAGGACGTCGGTGGTCGTTTTCGGGCCTTTGGATTTTCAGGCGGTGCGACTCTTTGTCTTTCCCTCCCCACAGTGCATCGATCTATAGAACTCAGGGTAATTTCGCAAATGAAGAATCGTTCTCCTTCAAAGGTCTCTATTGCGAACATGTTCACTGGGCCACAATGGCTATAGGGTATAGCACTTGAATCCGCCTTTATCTTGAAGACTTTCATTCTTTGCGGTCAGCGACCTTCTGCTTGCAGGACCTTCTGAAGGCCTTGTCCAGCGAAGGCCAACGATGGCTTTTTAATTTTGTATTCGGTGGACACAACTGACGCAGTGAGATACTGTGAGTGTCAACCTTTCTTGTGCCAGCTCTTCTGTGACACTTTTCCCCAATTGTTTCTTTTTGGCTGTGATGCTTTGTTGTTGAACAAAAAGGTGTCGTGCGGGGTCTACAGTAAATCTTTTGGTTTTGTAGGTTGCGGAAGGTGACCCGACCAGCATGATTGCCACCTGCTGGGAGGCCATGGTGCCATGGTCCACCTCCCAAAGCAGGCAAAACGGTCTGGAGGGGATTGAGAAGCGGATGCTGTGTGGGCTCACATATCAAGCGGTTGAGTTGGTGTAAGTTGGGTTTTCCTTCAGGAAGTGAATTTTGGACTAGCCAAGTCGTTGAAGCTTAGAAATCTCTCATTTGAACCACAAAATGAGTCATTGGTGTAGCTGCCAAAGTCACCATGATCTTTTCATTTTGCAGATCAGTTTTTGGCACGGATCGAACCTGGAGCCTCACCCACACCGCAGTGCATGAGCGCAGAGGTGTCTCTGCACTTGTCCGCGAAGATCAACAAGAAGTTCGTTTTCGAAGGTGCCCGACCCACTGGCTGCAGAGCAGCTGAGAAAGCCCGACCAACTCATCCCGCGCTTTCATGAATTCATGGTGCCTTTGTGGGGGGTGGCGCCTCCTTTCATCAACTCTGTGAACAAATGGGTGACTTCGGAACCCTAAACCCATCATGATTTCGTGGCATCCACTTGGAGTCCTCCAGCTGGGAGCCACCCAGCATCATCGGCAGGTTTGGAACACTTGGGCGAGCTGCTGGGTGCCTCCTATGACGACGGGCTCGTGGTGCGGCTCCTCAGATCTGCGGAGGAGGTCGATCCACCGCGCTTGCTGTAGAAGTCAAATCTATGCACTTGTTGTTTGCAATCCAAGCATGTCCTAGCATCCACACTGTGTATCCACACTGAAGATCTTCCTCCCAACAAAAGAGCATCCTGCGACACATCGCCTTCCTGGCCAACCAGTGGCCCGGAATCCCCTCTCCTCCGCCGGCGCGGTCCGATCGCCTTGGCTCGCGCCACGTGCGCACGATGCGCGCCGAGGTCACCACCAAGACTGGTGCGGTGGCTCACTGCCGCGGTCTGCCCGTGGAGGGTCGCTGGCCATGCCAGCAGGCGGACCGAAACGGTCCTGCAGTGCCGCTCGAAGGGCGCCCGTTCGACTCGAGCGTGCAAAGTACAGTAAGTGGAAAAAGGGTTTAGGCTAGGGTGAGCGTGGGTGTAGGCCAGTCTTGGGGGACTGTAGAATTCCACAACAATATATGCACTAACATCCAGTGTCCTTGCGGAACTCTGGTGAGCTGTGGAGGTCGCCGAGCCCTTGCCCACGCCCTTGCGCGCCGGCTGCGCAGCCATGCTACCCGGAGGCCAGGGTGGGACAGGTCTCAGGTCTCGGCGCCGCGGGTCCGAGATGTTGTTTGAGGCGTGTTTGAAACTGGTGCCCTTTTCATTCTTTTTCTTCCTTTTTTGACCTTTTTTTGACACCGAAAGACCAATGCCTTTGGTACAAAAGAAGAAGACTACCCACCCAGCTACACTAGTAGATGTGTCTGGCGGATACTGGTAGAGTTTCAGCTTTTCCAGGCATTCCGAACTGCGCATTCCGGCACATTCCGGGTCCGGTCCTCATAGGCACACTTCGTGCGGCGGTGAGCTTGGAAGAGGACGATGGAGCTGGAACCTCAGTTGATGAAGCAGTCCTAAGGGCCCTCAACTGGGGACCTGTGCCGGGAAGGACCTCCTTCTTTCAGTCTTGGAGTTTGCGACCTGTGGGAAGGGCAGGAGGTCCTTCTTTGGCCCAACTCTCGTTGAACAGTGTTTGGCACGAAGTCCGTGCCTAAAGGATCTGTTGCTGTTTGTTCTTTCGGTTCCCTAGGTCATGCCGTGGTTTCCCATGACCTGTAAGAGTCAATAAAAGATTATCACTATGTTTGAGAAAGGCCTTTACTAACCATCATAATCATCATCCCCTGTTACAGAGGAATGGGATACACCCAACCTAGGTCCATGTAGGTCCCAGGTCCTTCGACTCATCTTCCCCCTCAGACGTTCACCGGCTCCCTTTGATGGTCCCAGGTCCTGCTCCTGCATGCTGGGCTGGATGGCAAGTGGACCCCCGTCGGCGAGGCCGAAAGCCGATCTGCAGACAACACAGCTGAGGCTGATGACGTTGGAAAAGTTTGCCTTTGGGAAGAAAGAAGGGCGAAGACACTTTCAAAGGTGAAGAACACGTCGAGTCCGCCATTTGATCCAGCTGAGCGTGGCCAGGTCTCCTTGCCCCATCATTCGCATCATCGATTCTCATTCGAGCGCCGAGGCGCGGCCCAGAATGAATGGCCCGACGAAACGAGGGGAGACGGGCGGTGGTGCAGCTAGGAGATTCTTGAAGTGAAGCAAGTTTTAGACATGCTACACAGCAAGATGCACCTCTGAAACAACCAAAGGAGGGGATCAGTAGATGGTTCAGTTTTGAAGTTGTCGAAGATGGGAGGGGACGGATGTGGGATCTGCCCTCCATCGCACATGCGACTGTATTTTGACCTGGAGCCTTCCTGTAATGACTGGCTTCCGGCACTTGAGCCTGGGTTGGGATAGTTGCTGTAGGAGTGTAGGGGTTGAATTCAAGTTTCTTTGGACTTTAGTCTTCCACCAACCTCTTGCATTAATCTTCACTCGATTCCCCACTTGGTGCCACGCTCCGCACGCTCCGCGAACCACGCCAGGAGCCGAGCTTTACATCTCCTCTCCCCATGGCGCGCTGAAGTGGCACATTGGCACACTGCAGTCAGGAGCTCATTCACACTACATTGGAATAGTTTGAGGGGTCAATGTAGGATAATGTAGGGATATATTCCATACATATGGATGGTCTGGGGCTGCTTTCAATTTTTCTTTCTGACTATCCTGATTACAAGTGCGTGCAGGATCGGAACAAGCACGACTAGTGATAGCTTCTTGGTACTAGTAGCAATGGCCTCCACCCTAGTAGCCATGGCCTCCCCTAGTAGCTTCTAGCTACTAGTAGCTTCTTGTTACTAGTAGTACGGCCAGGAGCCCCTAGTAGCTTCTTGTTACTACTGTAGTTTTAGTTGCAACGCTCGGCTCGTTGTGTCGCTGAGGTGAATTTCTCCGAACAGCCCGCAGCTCTAAGACCGCATGTGTTGAGAAGCTGACAGAAGCACTGACGCATGCACCTTTGCTGAGTAGGCAGCACGTGTTAGTGAAACCATTAAAGTATGAACGCACCTTTCCCTTGTTTGCTCTTCATGTTGAAATAATGGTTTTGCAACTCCCAGCCATGCTGTTAGAAGGAGGACCAAGGAATGTGAACATCCAGTCAGATTATTTTCGACCCAGTCTGGTGGCCCTGTGCTTCTCTGATGACCCAATGAAAGGTGCCCTTTTCATTCTTGGACGCTTTTGGTTGCACAAAGTCGGCTTGCCCAAGATGAATTCAAACAAGGAAGGGCTCACTGCCTACGGCAGTCCCTTCAGACTAGTGGAAGATGCTTGTCAAAGCTCAAGTGGGTAAAACTCCATAGTAGACTCTTGAACACTTGTTGGGGGTGCAGAACTTGCCACACCTACGAGCCTTTCCTAGCAGATCTTCACTTCAAAGACCATATGGCAACACTGAAGCGGTTGTGCCGATGCTGCGAGCTGACCTTGCCGGTTAACCCCATGCGGCCCTGCGAACGCAAGCCGTTGGGAATGAAGCGGCAGGGCCAGGCCATTTGCACGGATTCTTCCAAGGAGTTTGTTCTGAGAACATTGATAAACATAGGCAGAGTTGCTGAAATTGGAATCTAGCTAGATTTGGATAGATTTGGGGCAGTTCTAAGTTGTTGGGTCAGTCTCAATCAAGTAAAGAGAAGACGGCTAATCCCATGTAGCTCAAGTTACCAGGCCAAAATAGAACTCCCCGGAGCACGTGACAGCCCTCAAAACTGTTATGCCTTCTGATATATCTCCACAGGGTACAAGGGTGATGTTCAAACAACTTTGGATTACCTTGCCGGTTGCATTCTTCAGCACATTCATCACTTTGCTGGGTCACAGGAAGCGGAATCAGATTCACACTTTGTCGTGTCGGGACTTTTTTGTACCCGCGTACCAATCTCCCATTCTCATTCTCTCAACCGAACATTGTCCCATTCTCCGATGCCATTCCCTTCGGTAGCAAATTGATTGGTGAAGCTAAACGCTGACTCCTTAAGTCTGTCCGCTGGGCAATGGCGGGGCCCTGCCGGCCTTTGAAAGGGGCCGTCTTGCGCATGGAGATTCGCGCTGTTTGTAACTTAGGCCATCTATACCATAAGATGTCTCCCTTTTTCCCTAGACAAGAAGCATCATCATTTTTCACCTTTTTTTCCTCACAAACACCATGTTTGACCAGCTTCTTTCTGAGTTGTGACTCCCCTTGAAGGTGCATGCTTTTTGCTGTTGTTTAAGAAGTCTTCAAGTAGCAACCCTTGGAGAGGACGATGCCTGTCGAGGCCTTTTTTCAGATGTCGGGAGGCGAAGGGCTCCTTCCCTCCGAAGTCCTGACAGGTGTGTCACTGATGCTGACCATAGCTTAAACTCAAACCCAGCCGAAATGGACCAGATGGAAAAAAGGAGGGGAGCGCGTCTGAAGACCCTTTTGCCGCGCCGCGGCGCCGGGAACCGCGTCCCGCGCTGTTTTGGGACGTCGGCCCCAACGGGGACGGACGCTGCCAGGGCTTGCTGACCCACGCCGTGGTGCGAACGCGTGACGTGGACACGGTTGTTGGGTTGGCGCAGACTCTCTGGGCGTCTCATGGCGGGCTCGGCGCCGCGATCAGGAGCGAAGGTGACGGCGAGGGAGAATGTTTTGGGAAATTCTCGAGCGAAGCTTGTTGCGATGACAAAGACCTTCAAGTGGCTCCCTCCCGGAAAGGGTGATATGATCTTTTTGAGCTTTCCTCTGATAGGAGGAGCTCGTAGCGACCACGACGGAACGAAGAAACGCAACAGACAAGGAATTCAACACGGCTTCGAGGAGTAAACGGCGGAAGACGCTCAGGATGGCTGGCTGAACATGTAAAGAGTACTAGGGCGCGACTGCCGTGTCAAACCATATGCATTCTTCGCCGTCCTTTGAGATTCAGGCGCACGTGAAGCAGGATTAGGATTGGCTCTGGGACGCCTATGCACTCTTTTGATCTCATTTCACTCTCTTTGATCCCCAGCGCTTCGGTGACACCAATGGCTTTCGCACCGGTGTGCGCGTTCGACCGCTGCGGCGGCTCGACCATGCCAGACCCGCCAGACCGCTGCGGCCGTTCCGAAGGCGCTGACGCGTCTTAGCACCCTTTTTTTCTCTGCCCGTTTTGCTGCTCGACACCAAACCCTACTACTTGCATGTTGTTGGTTGTTAGTTGGCTGGCCTGCTGGCCCAGCTGGATGAAGTCACTGTCAGTTCCTAGTCACGAGCCCTGTCGCCGCCTGCTGTTCTTCTCGCATCATGGAAGTCCCCCCGCGGCCCGCGCCGATTGCGGAGCGGCAACGCAGAGGAGTGGCAACTGCGGACCGCCCCTAAGAGACTTAGGAAGGCAATTGGATGTCGGGCACCGCTCCGCTCCACGAAGCTTTGGCATTTGAAGCGGAAGCCTGTTTCACAAACAAGCAACACTCATGTCTCGAGAGTGTTGTGTGAAAGATGCTTTGGACCTTTCGAAGGGAACAAATCGGACATGAATTGCAGGCAGTTTGCAGCTGAAAGAAAAGGGTGAGGAAGCGCAACGAGGTCTCACACCATTACCAGCAGTTACGTGAAAGCGCCAGGCACGTATTGGGGTTGTTTGCCCCTGGCGGGTCTTTGATTTCTTGCCCTTGCCCACAAACACACACAGCGCGACCAGCAGTTGGAACAACACATCCCAGTGCCGGTCCCAGGCTGGGCACAGCAACGGGACCCTTCAGCAGGGCTCGTGGAGCCCATGGCAGTGCACCGCGTCCGTCAAGAAAGCACGCGCACCACGCGCCCCGTTGCCCCCGTTGCGGAGGCAGAACGGTTGGAACGCGTCGTCGGCTCGGTCAATGGGTTGTGTGGTGGTTTGTGTGGTCAATGGGTTGCTTGGCCAAGAAGTTCCAGCCGCCAAAGCCTTCACCGCTGGGTTGATTTTCCAGTTGCTGCTGGTGTGAACCGTGTATTTAGTATTTGGAGGATGCTTGAGAGACTGGGTCGCGGGTCTTGATGGGGAAACGGTTTTTGAAGTCTCCCAATTCCAAGCTTGTGGCGTGACTACTGCCCTTACATGCGAATATAGTGCTGCTCAAATTGTGGAATCAACCAAAGGGAGTGGAACGACTTGATTTGCCAAGAGGCGCTTGCCGAACCAGAGCCCATCTGCGCAGTAGCGCGTCCATGGCAGCTCAAAGACCAAGCAGACAATTACTGTAGATAAACAAGGCAAATACATTTCCCGCCACCTTAAATAGATAACGTGCCAATGCCAATCTTGCCCTAACAGGAACACTTAGGGGTCATAGTAAAGACTTTGGAGCAGATCGGAACAGCTTCCAATTCAAGTTCCGGAGCAGGTTCAAATTCCGGACCAGGTTTTTGAACAATTCCGGAGCATGTTCACCTCGGGAGCATGTTCCGGGGAGATCCCACAGGAGATAACGGAGGAGATTTGGAATACGTTCCGGAGCAACTTCTGCAGCACGTTGTGGGGCAAGGTCCGGTAAGGAAGTTCTGGTACTGTTGGGGCGGGGGCCTGGCGGAGTTTCTGCAGCAAATTCTGGGGACACACAGGCATCTTGCAGTAGTAGATTGTATAACATGTTTTACAAATTGGTGATTATACCCCACGCAAAAAGATCTTGGCCAGTGTACTCAGATTTCATCGGTTTGCCGATGATTCGATTAGCCAAAGGCCGGTTTGCGGCAGGCTGCGAAATCACAAGGCTTGTCACAAGGCTTGGTATTTGGCAGGTGTGGAAGACAGGTGCTGCTAGAGCTTCTTGCAGTGTGTACTGACCATTTGGGACTCAAGACCCAACGCAACTATTGGCAAAACAAGACGATGGCACTCCTCAAACATTGCGGAAAAGTTGTTCCGAAAGCCCGAGCGACTGTGCTCTAGCATTCAGGACGCCTCTTTCTGTTACATCTTCTAACATGTGCGCCCCCAACCTCCTGAGGACCGTCTTGCCCATGTGTCACTGCACTAAGAGATGTTGAGAACATGTGCAATCCCATGTCCATGTTGACTGCGCATCTCAGTGACGTGACATCCCCGTTCATGTCTCATTCGTCCTAAACTCTTGCCTCCTTAGCCTAAACTCAGCTTTGAGGCGAAAATTTGTTTTATTTTTTCTCTCCTCCGTTGTCACATCCCATCCAGTTTTTTTCGTTGCCTAGCGGTTGCTGGACTCCTATGCAAACCTCCGCCCGCCGCCCGTGTTCTAAAAAACACGCCCCGCACTTCATTTGCGAAAGTATGTTCCGTACGCAACATACACTACATGCATTGCAGGCCCCCAAACTAACCGCTAAGCTGTCCTAACCTAACTCTGATGTGGAGCCTGCTGGCCACAGCGTTTCATATCAGGAAAAATCGTTTTGAACGCCCGGAAATTACTTTCATCCAGCACTCAAAACATCTCCATCTTCTTTCATACAGCGTTTTCTGAAGAACCTGAGGACCGTGTGGTTCATGTTATCAGCACTAAGAGATGTTGAGAACATGTGCATTGCATTGCCATGTCCATGTCGACTGCACATTTCAGTGACATGACAAAGTAATTTCGGCCCAGAAAGTTTGGAGAAACAAGAATAATCGTGGAACCAGTAGGTCGTTAAGCATTCTTTTCCGTGGCGCTCTTGGAGGTGCAATGCTTGAGAGGTGCCATCGTGTTGTTTTGGAATCGTGTTGGGTGCTGCGACCAAAGTCAGTGCATTGGTGCAACATAGTCAGTACACACTGCAAGACCTCTAGCGCCTGTCTTTGGGCACCCGCCCGCAAGATGCCAAGTCTTCTGATTGAGCAGCCTGCTGCAAACCGGTGTGGCTTATCAAATCGTCGGCAGGCCGATGAAAAATAGATATACTGGCCACAATTTTTGTTAAACATAATCACCGATGTGTGAAACATGTTACGCAACCCTACTATTGCAAAATGCCTTTGAGTCTTGGAGTTTGTTTTGGTTTCGGAGTCTGGTTGCAAGAACTTTGATATATTGCGAATACACTGAGTTGCTCTGACGCGGTGAGCTGTTTTGCCAAGTGGATGTTGGTGTGCGGTGTGTTGTGCTCAGGTGTTGTCACGCGGATATGCTTGTGGGGTGTCAGGCCAGTATCTTATCAGACTGGCGCACTGCCATTGGCCACCCCAACACGGTGAAAAGTTGTCATGGTGAGATCCAGACCGGGCTCCGAAATTAGCGTTTTCGCGCGACGAGGTGTTGTGATGCTGGCGCGTGTGGTACGTATGTCCACGCATTGTCGTGTTGGTGTGCTTGCGCGGCACATGGACGGAGCAGCGCTGCGAAAAATATCCTCCGCGCTACAGAAAGCATGTGCTTCATTCAGGCATCCGAGGGTCTAGAGTGAAGTTGCCTGGTGTTCAATGCGCACAAATGAGTTTGCAAAATATTTGTTTCAGACCCCTTCCCTTGAAACGGGGGATTCCATCAAAATATAGGACGGAACTATTTTTTGGTGGTTTGCCTGCCTGACACTGGATGGATTGCCCTCAATAGAGCGCCACATTGGAGTCCCAAGTGGGCGGACGACAGTCTGCTCCAAACGTGCCCTCCAACGAAAAGCAAAACAAAAACTAAATTCAAAAAAACACACGGTATCGAATGGCATCAAGTCACACGCATTCCACGAGTTTAAAACCTTGATGAAGCCAGGGTTCACGAACCCGAAGGCCAGTTCAGGCTCTTTAGGGCCCGTCATTGATCCAAATTTTGTTACCAATATGGCTGCGGAGTATTGAGCACGCTCACGAACTCGCAGGAAAACACAGTTATTTCAGTGATTCACCAAAACCATTTTTTTCTAATTTCCATCAACTTCTTACCCTTCCAACAGTTTTTATATCAACCAAATGCCAAATTACCTTTCGAAGGTCTCCTTGACCCAGCGTAGGAATGATTGAAGTGAAAGCATGACCCATCTTAGACCTTTGCTTGTCAGACCCTGGAGGGTCACCAATTCCAGACCGCGTCAGTCCAAAACCCTGAAACGGGCTCAAAAAATACTAGAACGAACCAAATCCAGAAAAATGAACCTGAGAACGTGACACTGGAAAATGGCTTTACACACCAACAAGAAACCCTGAGACGTTTGAAAAAGAGCCCCCACCAAACAGTCAAAAAACAAAACGGTCTGAAAAGGGGATTGCCCCTTGTCCAGCGCCGTTCCTGAATTGGAATTGTCAAATAGCAATTGCTACAACACCCTGAGTCAAACGCGACAAAAGTTGCCCCAACATTTGGGCATGAACCCGCATATTGGGCAAAAACACCACCGCAATTCACCAACAAACCAAACGTTGCACCATTGCCAACACATGCTGCCGTAAATCCGTGTTCCGCTTCTATATGTTTTGACGGCATTCCTTTTTTCAAGGGTACGGGTTTGAGGGCAAGGGTCGGACACAAATACCCTTTTGCACACTCAACCGTTCATTTCGATGAACACCAGGCAATTTCATTCTGGACCCCTGGATGTCTGAGGGCGTAGCAACGAGACACGGTATTAAGAAACTTCATGTGCCCAAGGGTTTAGAATGAAATTGCCTGGTGTTCAACGCGTTGAACAATAGAACTTGCAAAAGGCCCTCAGGCCCTTGCCCTTGAAAAAGGTGATTTCAACTGATTATTGACCTGTACTGAAGAACGGTTGCAAGCAAGGTGCTTCAATGACCTGTATTGAAACACGATGACAAACGTTTAGAGGCAAGCTGCTTCGATAGAGCTCGAAGTGGAGTCCCGTATGGAATGGTGACCATTTCCTACATTTTAGTCTCAGTGTGAATTTTGCTCCCAATAGCGCACTCGACCCGTTTCTTTTTAACCGGCTTCTTCTTCCACCTGTTGTCGGTTTTTTTGGGTCGTTGAAGTTTTGTTTGACTCGTTTCAGGGTTTTGCTTTGACGCGTGTGAATGTTTTTTTCTCGCGTCGTTTCGTGTATTGATTCAACTTAAGGTTTCTTGCCTGACCCGTTATAGAGTTCTTGTTTGACGTGTTTGCTTTTTTTTGACCCACTTCGTTTTGTTTTTCACTCGTCTATTTTTGTTTGACCCGTTTCAAGGTTTCTTTTTGATTCGTTTTTTTTTTGTGACCCGTCTCGCGCATGTATTTTACTTGGTTGGCCTGTTAGCGAAATAGAGGAATCAGTTAACCTGGTTCAACTTCGGGTTTTCGGGGCAACTTGGACGGCGAAAAAGAACACAGTTTCACTTGGCCAAATATATGCAGAGGGAAGCGAGGGAGAACCCGGCTCTCCACCCCCGCCTGGCGGGACTCGTCAGGGGGTGGCGTGAAGGGGTAGAAGTAGTCGTACTGCTCCACCACCCCTGCACACCGCTGCCATGCGAGTTTCGAGGGACCACGTAATCGGTGAATGTCTTCGCCCGTCATGGCGGGTTCCGTCACCGAACAGTAATTGATGGCGGGGTTAGACCCAAAGAAGATGCCGAGGACACAACGAGCAGCAGATGTTCTCCTATATACTGTGCCTTTTCTTCTTCTCTCCACATCTCTTCTTCACGATCTCGCAGGACAAAAGGACCACCAGGTCGGACTCATCACTTTAATTGTGGGACGAAAGACCCGGACTCATTCTTTGAGCACCATAGCGCTTGCCAAACAGACAAGCGACCCCACACTCACGCAACATTGCCCCATGGCCCACTCTTGTGCCTTCTCCCTTGTTGTCTTCCAGGCGGAGTAAACATTTGGGTGCATCCAGTGAAAAACTATTCCAACATCGATTCCAGGTCTGGAATAATTAGTGAACACCTATGTTAAAGGGGCCTGGAATAACACAAAGTTAATGCAGCCTTTCTGTTGCCATGCACGTGGCCTAGGCCTAGCCACTGCGGAAGCAGAAAACAGTAAACGTGTCCATCACAGCAAGGTTGTGCGTACTATAGACGTGTTTGTGTGGGGCCCCGGAGTAAGCAAGATGTATGCCAGCGCTCAGGAGCGGAGTGCAATGCTTGGGCGACAAACACCAACCGTTCCCAAGAGCCTAACAGACAAGAGGGATATATAGAACGCCCTTTGGCTTCGCATGCGCCAAATAGCCAAGCCACCCGACCCGTGTGCACCCACCCACGTGGATGCGCGCCATGCACAAGTGCACGGAATTTATTGGAATTTTGGATGAAGGTGATGAAGGTCCGTAGTGGGGGAACAGCTGCGGCAACGGCAATACAGCCGCACCTGCAACGCTCGTTCGCCATTGCCAACTGCGACGTTTGAATTTGTGTGGCCGGATCCGGATTCTAGGGTCCAGGCGCCAGTCAAAGGCGCCGTGCACGTATCATATGTCTAAACTCTAAACAAACCGAAGGCCGGTCCTTTGGGGTGGGCAGCGTTTTTGTATGTTTTTCGTGGGAATGCCGCATGGACATCCGCAGCTTACTATGCAACAAACAGTGGGCATAAATTTGGCAATTGTTGCCCAACCAATGCAGCGCACTAGGGCCTACGGGCTTTGTTGAATTTTGTCAAGTGGTGGGTTAGGAGGCCACCCTTCCCCCGAAAACAGCACCCACAAGATCACGTTTTTCGTTTTCAGATGTTTTAGCACCATCGGTCTTCGTCGCTATGCCGGCTGCCCCGCAACTCGTGGAATTCCCGGACGCCTTGGGGTTCGGAGCGCCGCTCTTCGTTCGGTGCGCGTGGCGCGATGTGGGCTCTGATGCGGTGGAAAGCGACACCGCCGTTTGCGACCTCGTCATGCACCCTGGCAGGTGCAACCACCCCGGTGCAAGATTGATGCGAATCCCAAATGCCCCAGCCGAAACTTTCAGTAGTTCAACTAGTGCAAGCAGGACATGGCACAACTTCAGCCGTTGTTTTTCCGTGTATTTTTGATTGTGTGTATTGCCTGGAATCGCTTGAGGATCGATGGCAGCCGTTGCTGGGCAGGGCCATTGCAACGCAGAGATTTGGCAGGGCCGTTAGGTGATAGCTGGAAAGATCCCGCCAACCTACGACTCCTACAAAATGTGGCTTGGCATGTGAGTACGGGAAAACAATTAGTTTTTTATTGACACCGGTTTTCAAAAGCAAACCAACTGCTGCCTCGTTCGGTGCAGATGAACACGACGACCGACCCTTCGACTCATCCTACGGCCAGTTAGCATTCTGGCGTGACGCCATGGTTTGGTCATGCCACGTTGGGCTCGGTTCTTCCCAGTCCCGCCACTCCCCGGGCCTTGGCCGGCACGTGCATCCGGAGGCACTCTCGGCGCCCAACAGCCGGACACCAGTGCCATTCGCAGGCCCCCGAGCTGAAGCATCATGGCGGCGCGGGGAGGCAGAGACCTTGGAACTTACGGTGCGGTGGCGTAGCTTCGTTGGCAATTGTTGTTTGCTTGGGGATCTCTTATTTTTCCCTATGGGTTGGGGATTCCGCTGCATTAGAAATACTTGAGGAGGAGGTAAGAAACACCACCAGAATGCTTTGGACTTTGGAAGAATTGAAAGAGACGTTGATGCCCTCACAGGTTCATCTATCGGGAGGGCCCCGTGGCCGCGATCCAGGGGGCAAAGTTTCCCAGCGTGAACTTCAACGCGGCCATCAGCAAAATCTGCGAGGGGGTCAGGAATCTGCAAGAAGAAGTGCGAAAACAGAAGGACAAGGCACCATTGAGCTAGGTGGAACCATCACGTGCATGTAAGTGGGCAACAGTGGGCAAAGTCATTGCAGCTGCGGGCTGCATCCTGCGCATTTGGCAGGTGCAGGCAGAACGCGGGACTCTGCAGGAGAGGCAAGAAGTACTGAAGAGGCCTTGGTTCGTTCAGTTTCGTGAGCGTGATGTGTTTGAGCAAGACCTGCATCCATGATCAAGCTTGGAGGCTCTTGTGTAAATGATTTGTTTGCTAGCCGCTAGCCCAGTTGTGTCTTTTTCAGGCGGCTCGAGATCTTGCCGAAAGAATTTGAGGCTCATGAGATGCACATGCTCCTAAGCTGATCTACCTTGAAAGGTTCTTGTTGGAGGAGTGAACTGGTTACCATTTTTGAGCAGAGACGGCGCGAAGAGAACAACCAAGCCGGCGAATCGTACTAGCTCCACATCACGCCGCCCCATAGCCATAGGGTTTTTTGATCACCTTCTCCCATCAACCCTTTGGACTAGACCCCACCGGTCACGGTCGGGCTCCAACCTGACCAGTTGAGGCTCGAGGGCCTCTGTGGCGTGTTGAACGCCCAGAAGCGCCGCTGCCGGAGCCTCTGGGAATCCACGGTGGATGGCCCCGGCCTGGCCGCGGGCGCCGGTGCGGGCGAAGCCGCGGTCGCGCCGACGATGTCCTTGGAGGAGTGCTTGGACCGAGAGGCGTGGAAAGCAGGGCTTGGGAGGGGCTGAGCGGTGCTCACGTGGCGACATGGTGTTAGACTCTTGGGACCCGATTTTGAATTTCTTGTTTTCGTTTTGGGAGGTGCTGAGGGTAGTACACTCTTTTGTCCTGTGAGCTATTAAGCACCAAAGACTGCAGCACATAAGATTCAGGTTGATGTGGGTGAGGGAGGGACTCATTTTTGGAACAGTTTGGGCACTTCCCCCCCCAAAGGCGACTGACCGTATGAACCAAGGCACGGCAGAGTCAACAACCTTCAGATGCGCATTTTGGTACCTGTTTGAATTCAGAGAGCCCCACCCAAACACCAACATGAAGGGCTATAGGCTATCGAGTTTGGGGATGGTTATATATATCGCTTTTCCTCTTAACGCACGGTGCATGCGGTTTGACCGCGCGACCGGTCAGGTGCCCAACCTGGGGCCCGTCGAGGAGAGGGACGAGCCAGTGCCCCGGATGCCGGCGCCCGCAGCGGCAGAACCGGTGGAGTCGGCGCCTTCGATGCTCTGTGGCCGCATGGAGAACAGTCTGGGGGCCTTGGAGCAAGACATGGCAGCAGTGATTTGGCCACGTGCCAGCTACTCAATAGTTGGGTCAGTCTTGTTACATGGACCAACTCCCCTTCCAGGATGACTCACCATTTGGACAAGTCCATGTTCCGAAAACATGGCTGATGGCCCTTTCACCCGCCATGTGCCGCGACAGCCGGGACAGCTGAGGTTCTCCTTGTCCTTCGACGTGAGCCGCGACAGCCGCGCGGAGAATACGTTCAGCATCCCTCTGACGCTGGGCATGAGCGCGCCTCATTTGAGCGCCTCCTCGAGGGTCACTGCGCGGCGGTGAGAGAAAAAAGGAGGCAGCTGAGTTGACCATGGGAGTTGGTCAATTTTTCTCAACATGCTGTAAGCCGCAGATGCATTTCTATTGAGCACTGGTGGCTTGCAGAAGTGGTCGTTTCGGCGTCTGGAAGACTGCTCAAGCTCGAGCTTGCAGCCACGGCAACGCCTGGCCACAGCAGCAATTATCGGGAGGCAGGGCGGGTATGAAAGAATTGTGTCAAAAGAATCACGCCATTGGCTTGCATGATGCACGAAAGTATGCAAGCTTGGCTTGGTTTCAATCGTTTTATCCAGCTGTTGTTCAGGGGTTGTTATGAGCTGAGCATGGAGGAGCGCGGGGGCGAGTTGTGTGGCGAGTTGTGTTGGTCTTGCTGAACTCAACTGGTGGTGCTGCCTCGCTGCTTCAGGATCCAGCTAAGCTGAAGAGTGCCTTGGCTGAGCCAGCGCTTTGACCGTCAAGTGCTTTGCCTTGGAACGAGCAAACAGCTCCGCGACGAGGCCTCAAAGAGAAACACAGGCCATGGCTTTTGTCCTGTTGCACTTGATGCGCGCCGTGCAACAGCATAAGCTTGCAGAGAACAACTTTTCCTCATTTTTTTGGGGGTCAGCCAGCTATGGCACCTCAAATCCATCGAGGATCCATCCAGATTCCATCCCGATTCAACCTTTTTGCTCAGGAGGACCGAGCAGCTCCTCCAAGAGGAGCGGCTCTCCTCCGACGCCGCATACGCAGACCTTGCCCGGTCCGCGCGGGATAACGACCGGCTCCGGGAGCAGATCGCCGCCCTGAAGGCGCAGTACGATGAGCACATATGGGGCTAGATCCGCCCGTTAGTGGATGTAGAAGAAGTATCCACCAGTTGTGGCTCCCCGACACCTCCTAATCTTAAAAGATCTTACGTAACCATTTGATCTGATGATTCTTGTCATGATTTGTGTGCCTGAAGCACGTATTTCGCTGAGTCAAGCATCACATGATTCAAAGTTTCTTGTTTTGTGATGCTGTGTGGTCGAAACTCTGGTTGACACGCAATGGGCGCAAGGGTTCCTTGATGTGTCGTGCCCGGTAGCATATCAGGAAAGCCTTGCAAAAGAAGAGAATAGCAGAAAGCAACTGGAGGAGCGCATCAAGAATATACCGAGCTTGCTCCTGGCATGTTGAATAACTGTTGTGCAAGGAAGATCTGAGATTGCAGAGAGATCAGACGGCATTGATGTTGACGCTGATCAAATTGGAGGTGGGTGGCCTGGTTGTGCCTTTGAAGAGGAGAGTATGTTGATTGGGTGCTAGGCTGCTACTGAGTAGGGCAAACATGCGTTTGGGGAGTGATTGAAGCATTTGTGAGGCAGAGAAGGTGACCATGGAGAATCATTTGCAAGAGGCTCCAGATGTCATCACCTTGTGCCAAGCCATTTGCTGCTAATTTTTGTGTAGCTGCCTATGGGCATATACTTTCCGTCAAGGCAGAGGGCAGGGAAGGGAGCAAGGCCAGCCACATTCGATCCTTAAAGGCCGCAGGGCGCTTCAAATGATGTCGAGTTCTGCAGCTTGTGATGTGTACGATTTGGGTTCGGTTCGTGGGTTCTGATGGGCATTGAGGTAGTAGGTGGAGCCTTAGCATCCCAAGCTATTTTGTGTGTTCTTTGCTGTTCAATTTTTCCTCATGCAATGCGCGTGCGCACGTTTTCTGATGATTCTTTCTTTCAAGCCACGTGCTTGCGTGACCACCGACCGCTGGAAAAGAGCAATGGCAGGAAAGTCTGACCGTGGAAGAGCAGATGAGACAACAGCTAGAGATGGTTTTGCAGAAGGTCAATGACCAGCACAAGGTGCTGTAGATTTCCTGTATATGAAGTCGGCTTTGCCGAGGGATGGGGGGGGGGCACTTGCTCCGTCACACTTACAAAGTTGCTTTATGTAGCTTTCTTCCAGGCAGATGCCAGCCCAACAGGCGATCACAACACCAACGACCATGACCAGGAGCTTCTGACAAGAACATCAGTCTTTTTTCTTCACAAGATGTTACCATTCACCAATCATCAGGATGTTTTTCACTCAAGATTTGCATGAGATGTTTCCTTTCACCAAGTCCATCTGAAAAAGCAGTCTCCTCGCACAAACCTCGCGGGCCCAGGCGCAAGACGCGCCCGACGACGTCCTTTACTTCGTTCCCAAGCTGCGACCTGCCGTGGCGGATGGGGCCGACGAGATCAGCTACCACGGCGTGATCATCGATGGTGCTTTGGTTTGTTGGGTTTCCTTTCCGGGAATGTACAAAGCCGGTTGGGATGGATTGGTCGATGGACGACATGGAGATAGCGTGGCCTGCGTGTTCTTGTGCGAGCCGAAGGACGGGCGGCGGGGTCCGGGGGGGCGACATTTTGCTTGGGGGATCGGAGAAGCTGGCAAGCCGAGATGGACATCGTTCGTTTGTTTTTGTTTTTCCAATTAATTGTCTGTATACTGTATACTGTATACCCTGAAGGATGGACTTGGAAAACATGCCGATGACACAGAGAATCCTGGAAAGTGCTTCTGCCACCGCATCTACGGCAAGAGGAACTTCAGGGACTTCGGTTACCTTCACAACATCAAGAAGAGAAGGCGAGCTTGCTCCGAAGATGAGTTGCAGCGGATCCTTCAGAAGGCAGAAGCCATGCATAGTGATGCCATCGTCTTCGCGGACGACACTCCGGAGCAGATTGCCCTGATGGAGAAGAAAGCTGAAGAACTCTGGAAGGAGCATGGCGAGATAGCAGCCTGGGGATGCGAGTGGTACAGGACTCCCAATTGGATCGACATCTTTAGAACTTGGTTTGGTCATAGGAGGAGGCAAGTTAACATAAGTTAGCCAAGTCAAATCGTACTATGACGATTCATGACGGCTTCCTGCTTGCAACATGAATTCAAGCCTGTAGTTCCTGCTTGGTACAAGACAACATTCCAGTTGGTTACAAGTTACAAGCGTTCGTGATACTGCCCTCCCCCTGATTAAGAGAGCCAAGTGACAAAATGATGACCGTATGTGATGCATGTGTTTGCTGCCTCGACCTTTGCCAGACGCATGGTGTTAGTCGGAGCAGGAAGGCTTGCTGCTTCCTGCTGGCGGCATGGATTCAAGTTTGTTATTTGCTTGTTGTGTTGGTGTGAGCGTGGTCGGTCACAGTAGCATCAAGACATGCATCCCAAAGAGTTGAGTCAATTCCCCATCCGAAAGAGCATTGAACAAACGTACATCGCGGAGAACTGAACCAAATGCAAAAAAATTGTATAATTCTGGTTCGACCCACCGACAGCCGCAAGCTACAGCTAAAGGCGTTCGCTAGGCCCTCATTGCAACTTTTCGCCTCACCCTGATGGTACATGTTTGCCTGCTGGTCGAACGCTGCTACCATCGAACTCTGGAACCCGATGTTTCAATATGATTCAAAGTTACCCGGCTTTGCCCGCAACTTTTCATCTTGTGACGGAGCCAGGCAGCAATCACAACCTTGTTGCTTGCAGCCCGCAAGTCAGAGCAGCGAACACGCAGCAAGCCAGAGCAATGCCAACCCAGACAACAATTTGAACACACGTCACTACATATACTGTATACACACGCATGCATATTATACACAGTATATTGCATGTCACTACTATGTTGTGCACAGGATTTGGCTTCAGAAAGTCGAGGAGGCGGTGAGGAAAGGCCAGACATTGAGGGTGGTGTTTTTCCCCGGCCAGTGCGGCGAGGGTACGGTCAGTATGGGGGAGCTGCCAAAAGCCGACTTGTGGGACGGCATCGGTTGTGGTGGCTCGCAGAAGTGTGAGATAGCCACTCTGAAGGCGAGGGTGCTCCAAAGCAGAAACGCTAAGAAAATACGTCACTGCATGCTCAGCCAGCGAGCATGGCTCTGTGGCAAGCATACATGTCAATTGATAGCTATAGGCAAAATGGTGTTTGCAGTTTCCATGTCTGTTGTTGGGGTCCGCTCCCCACTCCCTAGCACTGGTGCCTGGCCTTGTGGAGGCCCGAGGGTACAAGTACGAGGAGGTGGACGTCGGAGAGTTCCTCACGGGGCAGTTCAAGCGGGGCGATGAGGCTGAGGCCTTGGATGGCAGCACGTGGCGCAGGTGTGAGGTCCTCGATGTGCCCAAGAAAATGATCAGCAAAGAAGATGTGGCCACATGGCAGGTGGAATGCAAACTTTCAGGCAGAGTCTTTGACTCTAAGCATGTGAGAAGCAGCCGAGATTCATTGAAGAGCCTCTTGGCCGCATTTCACAGCAGCCACGACTCCTTGGAGAAGCTCTTTGGCGAAGTGGGCATCACCATCGAGAAGGCGCAAGAATCGGGACCACGCAACGGTGCGCCTGCGCTCAGTGTCAAGGTGGAGATCAAGAACATCAAGCAGGCCCACCTTCTCCGTGATCGCGTTTTGGAAGGAGAGTTGGACATCCAGCTCAACAAGATACTGTCAGAAAAAGCTCCCAGTTCCCACACCTGGGATATAGGCATCGAAAAGAATCATTTCATCGAGCTCTATGAGAGGACCCTTCCGGGACTTTTGGAGTTGACTCCTCACCAATACCAGAAGCTGCAGGAGTTGGAGAGCGGGAACAGCCAAAACCTCCATCTCGCGGCTCCTGCGGGTGCCGGTAAGACCTTCGTGGCTTTGAGGTACGTGGTCCGACACCTACGAAGCAGCCGCAGTGGACGCTTGCTCTACGTGGCGCCGAATCGCGCTCTCCTGTTCCACTTTGTTCAGTGGTTGATGGCTAGCCTCAAGGCCAAATCCATAGATCCAAGACGCACTCGTATCTGGGAAAGACTTCTCCTGAAGCATCAAGGCCAGAAGGCCTTCTGGCGCCCAGTGCTGGATGGAAGGCATCTGAAATTGCAGGAAACTCCATTGGGAGAGGACGAGTTCTCTTTAGTCGTGGTCGATGAGGCGCATCAACTCTTTGCCTCGGGTGACGAGATGGATTTGCTCACGTTGCCTCGCAAGAAGCTGCTACTACTGTCCGATACTTCGCAATCCACCCACTTGCATCATCACTTTCCCACGGCACACTACGTGGAGCTCTCCGAAGTCATCCGCAGCACTCAGCGGATCGTTGCTGGGGCCATGCCCTTCCAACACGCCCAGTCCGCCAGCTCAGTCCAAGGGATGGGCACCGAAGGGCCACCGTTGAAGTCCTTCCTGTTTGAAGTCGAGTCCGAGAAGACCATGATGCAGGACTACGTGAAGCACACCGTGGATACCATGTGGCATGTGCTCCAGACCTTTCCCGGGGTGAGCTTGAGCCGTCGGTTGGCCTTGTTGGTGAAGGACGAGACTTTCCTCCAGGATTTCAAGCCGCTGATGGTGCAGAAGATCCAGGAAGAGCTTCCGGCTCGAAGATTCGCTTTCGTCTCCTGTGAAGAGTGCTGCAGCTATTTGCCATCGCATTTGGTTCCACATTCCAGTAGTAGAGACGAAGAGGAGATCATTGTGCTGGATGCCGTCCAGAACTCCAGAGGGCTTGAGCAGTTGATCGTGGTTTCCATTGCGCTCGACACCAGTATTGACGGAAACGCAGACAACGAGACCCGGTCCTACCTCTACACGGGGATTACCAGAGCCCAGCTTCAGGCCGTGGTGGTGAACCACTTCATCCCGGACGGCTGGCTGGCATTCTTAGGCACCTTGAAACTGAAGAACGAGAAATTTACACAGAGGGCGGCACTGGCCGCCATCCGGAAAGATGCCGCCACGTCGGCTGTGGCAGACGCTCCGCGGCCCGCAACAGAAAAACAAGACAAAGAAGCAGCGAAGCAGCATACTGAGGTGTCTCGGCTGAAAACTGGGGGTTGGGGCAAATGCCGTGTTTTGTTCCTTTTGTGGAAATATGCCGTGGCTTCACAATCCACATTGACATCCGTATGTAGCATACGTGTAATTTGCTTCTAGAGCCGATCCATGTCTATCTCCATTCTTGCCAGGTTCCTGATCCTGGCGCATTGAGACACAAAGCAGGCACCCAACAAGGTGATGAGATGTCGGCCGATAAGAAGGCACGAGCTGAATGGGGTCAGAGTCGTAGCACGTGGCAATTTCCTGACCTGGATTTCATTTGCCACCAAGCAGTCAGCAAAATCCTCAAGATCCATTCAACACTTTCCGCCACAGGTTGAACGGTGGGATCAAGAGATTTCCAATGCAGTTTTCCTCAAGATCCGTTCAACACTTTCCACTGCAGTTGATTCGTTCTCACTCAAAATGGTGAGGCTGACCAGGATCTCAAGGACATGCAATCAAGGGCAGATGCAGTGAAGGTTGCTGCCAAGGTGTCGCTGGCAAAGATTGATGGGAGTGGGAATGACCGCGGTTGGTGTTTTTACATCTGTAGAAACACGCAGCAACTCCTTTTTTCCTGATGGTGGAGTAGCAACTTTGATTCCTTCATTCAAGCCCAGCCATGCATGTTAGACTATTAGATGATTGAACCGTCGAATGGATTCGACTGGTGTGTTTGACTTCCAGCTGCTTTGTGGATGAGCGTGCTGGCTCGTGATTTACAATACTGTGCTGGCTCGTGATTTACAATACTTACATCAGAGCCTTTAGATGAACGGATTTCGTTTGACGACCTTGGAGGTTCTTACCAGTTGCACCGATCGACTTTAGAGCATCCTTAGATGGGTCGCTACATTTCATTCAAAGAGAAGGAGCGCGCAACAAGCTGAACCATTACACGAATCGTAACGAACGCCATGGGCATGCGCGCAACAACGGAACCGAACGCAACAACCCCCATCACACACGCCGAAAGACCAAGTACCATCCCAGGTACCAAACAAACAGATTCCTACCAGGAATCCAAGATACTGCATAGCGCATCAGCTCGCTGGAGTTGCCCTTGCTCTAGCAAGTCGTGTTTTTGGGGATGGAATCGGCTACTCGACGAATTACACACTGCGTGGGAACGGCAGCTTGCCCACGCATCACTTTGGCATGTGAAAACGAATTCCCCTCCCCACAATAGCTTTCGTCACCAAAACCCCGGCTTCAAGTTGCATCGGGCACGCGGGTGGGAGGTAACCAGGTAGAGCAGTGTGCCACCCTCTTCCTGTCAATGATGGCCCGCCCGTCCCACACCCAAAATATGTCCCGAAAACTGACGTCGGGGACCAACATATTACAACTGCAGAGATGGACCAGCTTGTAGCAGGACCTCTGTAAATGCACAGTGTCCGCCTCCTCAACAGGTAGTTGCGCAGCCCCCCTACTTCACTTGAAAAGGCACAGCACCGCCCCACTCAAAGCACCCATCACGACCGAGCAGGCCGGGCAAAGCCACATAGTTGGTCAAGGCAGAGTGCATCAACACCTCCAGCGTCACAAGCCCGACCAAGGCAGCCAGTACCACCGGTCACATACCAGGCCCTGCAAAAGCAGAACGAGCATCCCAAATAGACAGTGCTTCGGAACAAGGAAGGCAGTGGAAACAATCAGTCGTGTCCATCGCCCCAATCGAGCCACAAGGCTCCAAACATACTCTTCAGAATTATGAAGTCAGAAACTATGCTCAACAAACCGTTGGTTGATGGGAAGTGGGACCAGGCCTCCCGCGAAGCATTGTCAAGAACAATATCGATGGCCCTAGATATGCAAACCAGTCACCGGCGCGCAATGCGTGCCCACTAACAAGCGCCGCTTGACGCCTGGGCTCTTCCACTTTGGAAGAAAGACGGGAGTGCCGATAGATCAGGATTTGGCCGGTACATGCAGGTACCAAGCCAGCTGGCCCTCCGCGCATCAGGTTCCCAAGCAATGTCCAACCCCGTGCCATGATCACCAAGATCAAGAGCTGCTGCCATTTCTTGTGACATTCCTTGGGTTGGGTCACAGCAAGCTCGCAATTTTGTTCGTGCATGGTTTTTGTTGGCTTCATGGCGCAGGGCGGGCCATTGGCTACCTTTATTGAAGCGTGCGGGAATCCTTCTCAATGGGTCACTACGCCCTCACTTGGCAGCGTCCATGACTTTTTTGCAGGCATGGAGCAATGGTGAAGCCTCCATGTGTCTATGGGGAGCTCTTTCTTGCAGACCCACCCGGCCTATGGTGACTGTGGATCGTGAGGTGCACATTGCTGCATCCCGGGCTGGCAGAAATCAGAGAATTGTCAGCCAATTTGATGATTTTGATGAAAGCTGGCGGATGAGTCATGTTGCCTGGAATCCTTTGTTGTGGTTTTGACTGCGGCTTTACAGGGGCCAGCTGCTCAGCACTCTGCCAAGGTTCCTGTCTTGTGGCTGGAGATTTCCCTGGCCCAGGAATTCCTCGGGCCGTTCTTCACTCAGGAAATGACCACAACCAGTCCAGCTGCGTTTTTTTGGCAAGCTTGCGCGATGGGGTACGGCAAGTCTCTTCGAACACCGGCAATCCGAGGCAACATGCACAAGGCTCGTGCTCGGCACTACCCTGACTCGTTGTTGGTGACATGCTGCACTATGTTGCCCTTGACAACCTCCAAGCAGCCAAAGCAGACAGTCCACAACTGCTGCGCTTGCAGTTCGCTGCAACCCTTGTTTCCAAGCATCGCAAGCAAGCTTCTGTCCGCATCTGGGTCGTGGAGAAGCAGATGCCTTGCCCCTCAGTTTGCAACCCAGGCTGCTCATCCCAAAGGCCAGCGAACTCCTGCTACTCGCACGAAGGCCAGTGCTCCGAAGCAACCGGTGTACCCGAGGAGGTGGGCTCAACGCCCCAAGCTTGCAAACCCACTCCGCCTCTGCGGCTCTCCGTGCACATCCTTCACCAGGAAAAAGACCCATCTACAAATCGCAAGCCGCATGAGGTGAGCATAGGTGAGCACACCCTCCCGCTCTCACAAGTGAAAACCATGAAAAACAGGTTGCCGTGCAGCACCAGCGGGAGCAAGCAGTCGACAAGAATGCTCATTCATGCATTTGGCGAAGTTGTCTGTCTCACCGATGTAGGCGGCCGCCTTCCACTTGGATTCATTCGTCGTGGTCAGCGGAAACTAAGCTTTTAACATGCCAGTGATGGTCCAATTCTCATCCTCAAAGCGTGACTGCTGCCGTGGCGAAGCCAGCTGATGCATCTCTCCCTTCTCAAGGCGTTCGTTTTGCACACATCCGAAGGTGTGCAACGGCCTTCAAAGAATCAAGGTCCACAATGATGCCCGGTAGGACATGTGGGAGAGAGAAGAAAGCAAACACTCCAAGATTTCAAGACCAACTTGTTGAAATCTGCCTTTCCCATGTCACCTTTCAATTTGTAGCCTGTGAGATGTACGCCGCGTACGCCTGATGCGGGGCGCCCGCAATCTACATAAATCGCCCCCGACTTCCAGAAGGCTGACAAAAACCAGGCGGGACCCCTGGAGGAGGTGGACCAGGCACAGGAGCTTGGAAAGGAGCATTGTGCATGCCAAGATGTTGGTGTGCAGCAGCGCCAGCCCAACCAGGATTCAAAAATCCTTTCTGCGGGGGTTTGTGCGCAGATGTTTGCAAAAGCCAGTAGCAAAAAAGCATCCAACCACAGCAATCAAGTCAAGTGCAAGTGTGCAACATACAAACAAGCAAACTCCAGGCAAGTATGTCACACCCCGTGGAGATCTCCAACGAAAGCAAGTCTGTGAGCTCGAAACCAGTTGAGGCCAAAGGGCTCAAGCATTCTGGTTCATGAACAGGATCTGATGGCATACAATGCTGTCACCATCACATGACCAACGCCGGCAGTACTAAACAGGAAAACAGCTCGGCAAAGAGTACCGCAAGTAAAGTTACACAAGCAACTGGTAGAGTGAACGGCCATGAGAGTAACAAAAAGCCTACCCTAACGAGTCCACCTAATGTCCACGTACGATGAATGGCATGTAGGTAAGCTGAGAGATGGAGGGACCACTAGCCGAGCTTGCAACGACCTCCACGGGCATGCGCGCAATGAGGGTGCCAAAAGACCGCGTACCATACCAGGTGCCAAACCAGCAGATTCCTACAAGGAACCCACGGGTACTGCACGCACAGCCCCCTCAGCCTCATCATGGACGCAGGTGTCACAGGGGAATTCAGCGCCTTCACGTGCCCCAGGCCAGCACCACTGCACTGGATCGTCCCAGTACTATAGTCAGTATCCAGCCGCCGCTCCGTATTTGGTGTTGTGGTGGGCTAGCACCGGCTTTCCGTCCAGCAGTTCCCAGCAAACGGGTATTTTTCAGTAGGTTCAAAATGGCTCAAAGAGCCTAGACATGCCCATACTCTTGGACAGCAGGAGCCAGGAAACCAGTGTCAGAAACGTGCCATTCAGATGGGCGGGTTAGGGCCCTTGCTCCAGCTGCATGGAATTTCTGACAGTTCTTCTACACCGAATGCCCATGCCTCCCGTGATCCCCTATGCGCGGGGTCATCAGATACGCAAGCACTTATCAAATGCCCTTAACTTTGCTTGTCAAATCGTGTCAAATCCATTTTTTGAGATGTCCAGTCGCTATAGGTTTTTGGCTCGACAATCGCCTCTGAACTGCATTCGCCGGACGATCACCAAGACGCCAGGAGCTGTCCGAGCTGCCGGAGTTGCGGGTGAAAGGCACCAGCGTGTGGGACACGGCCAGCAACGCAATCAACACCAAAATCGTTCAGTTGAAGTTCGATCCTCGGATTTCTCGGCTGAGCGAGGCGCGATGTCTCAACGTCGCCTTCGTTACGGTCGTGCTGCATTTTTGTTGTGGTCCGTTTTGCATATCTTTGACATATTGCGACCACTTTTTTGGGGTCTGCAACAGGTCAAAAAAGTGCGTCGATTGTTCGTGGTGTTTTCAATTAGCACGGCCACCCACTACGTGACAATTCATATCAATTCATCATTGCAAATTATATTAAATTAGCATAGTGGCATAGAGTTGGCAAATAGCAAAGCAGAACACACATTCCAAAAGGACGTATAGACATTCTCCCCCTTTTCCGATGTCCTAGCGGCCAGCGCCTGGAGGAGATGTCCTGGATGGAGCTGCAACCCACTGGAAGGGCTCCCAGTGAACGAGCGCTTCCTTCGGCGGTCTACGATCCCCACAGCCACTTCATGGTTGTGTTTGGGGGTCTGCCTCTGAGATTCCTTCATGTTTCGGCGTCGAGAAGTGTTGCGCTCCATTCTCCAGTGGCACCTTGCTTCAAGCCGAGGAGGTAGTGGCGACGGCAGTGCGGGGCTAAGTTCTATGTATCGGAATCGTTGGTTTTTGTTGTTCTGGTGCTTGGCCGCGATAAGCAGCTAAGGTTCCGCTTGCTTGTGTCTCAGAACGCGCCGCAATAGTTCAAGATATCAATGTCGTCATGTCCCACGTTTGGACTTCGCAGCTTGAAAGTGTCATTTTGCAGAGAATTTGTTGCAAAAAAGCTGAGGGAACGACTTGTGGAAACTGGATTTGAAGGCAGGTTATCCGAGATTCGGGGTCAAGCGGGCCAGTGGCAGTTCAGTGGTTGACTTTTTTTATTTAAGGGCTTACGCCCGACAGCCGGCCAGGGGCCCAAGCAAAGGGGAGTGTGGTTGTAGTTGTGGTTGTAGTTGTTGTTGTTGTGGTTGTCGTGGTTGTGGTTGTGGTTGTGGTGGTTGTGGTTATTGTGGTTGTAGTTGTGGTTGCTGTGGTGGTTGTTGTTGTTGTTGTTGTGGTTGTTGTTGTTGTGGTTGTCGTTGTTGTCGGTATCTGTGGCGGCGCAGCTAGGGTTGATGTAGGTGTATCTAGGGGGCGATCTGGGCATCTTGGGAGCTGTGCTAGCCCATCTCGTCGCTATGTTGGCCCATCTTGGGGGCTATGTAGGCCCATCTTGGCGCTATTTAGAGATCTTGGGATCTATACTAGCCCATCTTGTCGCTATGTTGGGGCGATGTTGGCCCATTTTGGAGGCCATGTAGGCCCATCTTGGCCCATCTTGGGGCCATGTTGGCCCATCTTGGGGGCTATGTTGGCCCATCTTGGGGCTATGTTGGCCCATCTTGGGGTTATCTTGACCCAGCTTGGAGGCTATGTTGGCCCATCTTGACCCTATGTTGGCCCATCCTGGGGCCATGTTGGCCCAACTGGGGTACTTTTTTCGGATAATGTTGGGCCATGTTGACCCATCTTGAGCGGAAAAGTTGCAGAAGCAGAAAACACTGTAGACTCATGCCCTTTCCTGCAACACCTCGTCTCCAGTGTGTCGGACCATCCTTGCAACACGCGTGTTTTGTGACACATCCGGTCCCCAATGCAGCGCAGTCGTTTCGAAACCACGCTAGATTCCGCACACGTCGCAGCAGCGCGAAGAAGAGAAAAAGGATTAAGCACGGGTGAGCGTGCCCATTGTCGACACACGTGTCGTATTTGGTGCGGTGAGCTAGCTCGCCTCGAAAGAGTCAACACCCATGTACCTGCACATGCAGAGGGGCTAACCGAGCCTACCGCGGAGGAGATGTCAGCGCAGTCAAAGAAGTCGACGATAGTTGGAGAGGCGAACATTAGGTGTAACAGGTTGTTCGGCGACTTTCTTTTGTATTTATTGTAGAAACGACATATAGCGGTTTATTATTTTCGTAGAAGGCAACGAACTATTATTTGCTTAAGAGCAGCGTTGTTTTGCAGTGATGGAAAACAAGCTAGCATTCATTCAAGCATGTCTCTCACGTTTCGTGAAGTTTGGTTCCAGGGTAGTGGAGGGTGGGCTTCCGCTTTTCTTAGTCGAGCCGTGTCTGACCTGTTGCCGGCACCTGTCAGGGAGCTTTCGTTCGGGCACGTTAGTGTAGAGGGTTTCAACGTAAACCTGTCAGAGAGCCTTGGGCTCACACCGTGGGACCCGCACGCGTGCACCGAAGGAATGCACCTGTCAGGGAGCTTTCGATCGGTCGACTTCACGACAACAAGCAGCCCGCAACTGGTGGGCGCCAGTGTTTCGTTCTGGCCGCAGAGGACGCCCGTGATATCCCAGAAAAGCGCCAACCACATCTCCACTCGGTCGGACCAAGTGGCCAGTCCAGTGCTGTTCTGCGTCCTCTGTCCAACTCTCTGGAGACAAGAGGCCCCATGCCATACATCTGCCATCGCAGACTCTTGCCCTTGCCTGCAACACCTCGTCTCCAGTCTCTCGATACCATCCTTGCAACACGCGGGTTTTGTGATACATCTGGTCCCCTGTGCAGTGCAGTTGTTTTGAAACCACTCTAGGTTCCGCACTTTTCGCAGGAGCGCGAAGAAGACAAAAAGGTTCAAACACAGGTGAGCTTGCTCATCGTCGACATGCGTTTCGTATTTGGTGCGGTGAGCTAGCTCGCCTTGAAAGATTCAACACCCATGTAGACCAGCGCATGACTGAGGTTGAAAAGGAGTGTCGTGCAAAGAAAGGTGAGCTAGGTTGCCTCAGACGGGTCATGCGGGACGCGGTCAGACTAGACTTAGAGGGTGAGCTGATTGTCCCAAGCTTGACGTCGGTGTGTGACGGGTTGCGGCGATTCTTAGCGCAGAGGTACTTATGCTGAGGCATGACAACGATGCTAGCGCCTTTGTGTTGCCGGTGAACTCCACGAGGTTTTGTTTGCGGCGCCTAGATTGGCTCAAGGCAAAGCAGCCATTCTGACAGTTGCCCGGAAAGATGGACACCATGCCAGCTTCTCCTCATGGTCCTATCATGGGTGCTTCAAGTGTGTGGCCCACGTTGCAATGGTTAGAAAGGTGGTCGTGGACAACGTGGAACAAGACAGAGGCATTGGTCCGAAACGTAGAGCAGTTGCAAGAAGCGGTGCACGCAATGCAGCAGGAGAACCAGCAACTCAGAGAGACGTTAGCGCATGCCTTAGAGCAACGCGCGGAAAACTGCGACGCCCGTGGACGTGGATCCGAGTCGGCCAAGGCAAGGAAGCGTCCGGCGTCAGACAAGGGAGAGGGAGGGAAGCAGGCGAAGAAATGAGGGACAGTCTGCCGACGGAGCGGCGCCGGGAGCGGCGCGCGGGAGAGAAACCGGACGCGCCAAAGAGGCGGCGCGCGAGAAGAGGTGAGCTGGCTCGCCCTCACAGGAGTGAGTTCAGTAGCAACCCAGGGAAAGCAAAGGTGAGCTCGCTCGCCCTCTCAGGAGGGAGGCGGTTGGCAGTGTCGGGGGCGGCGTGTGGTAGGCGGTGAGCTCGCTCGCCCGCAAAGGAGTGATGTAGGCAACGTAAAGGTGAGCTTGCTCGCCACAGGGGCTTGGGTGCGGAAAAGCTGCGAGGGCGTGTGGTCGGGCGCGTGCGGACTGCGGCGCAAGGCCGCGGTCTCGAAAGAGAGGTGGTCAGGTAAGTGTCTCCAAGGACTTTCTCCAAAGCTCGTAGCCAGCGACGACGGGTCAAAATCATTCGCACCACGAACGAAAGTTTCCTAGTATGGTTAAGTATAATCAGAGGGTTCAGTGTCTGCGTTGACCCGAAGTCAAAAAGGAGCTCGAAGTTCATGTTCTTTCAAAGCTCAAGTGTTGCAAACCAGCTGTGTGAAACCTCAGCCTGGTACTGTTCAGTGTTTGATGTTTTGGATCTTGACCCAGGATCTTTGCCGGTAGGCCATGGAAGGCACTGCGCCGGAGTTCGAAGACATTGTGTCGGAGGCCAGGCTCTCAGCGAGAACCAATCCGACGTTGGTTGCGCCCACTGACGGCAACGAGACCGTCTTCCCGGAAACTGCGACAGTTAACTTAGAGTGTGAGACCGACGTGGGCAGTGCCACAGAGGGGCCAACCGAGCCTACCGCGGAGGAGATGTCACCGTCGTCGAAGAAGTTGACAAGAGTGTCAGAGGTAAACTTGAGGCGTAAGAGGTAGTTAGGTGAGCGACGAGTAGTTTTCTTGAGTAGAAACGACATTGGTGAGGAGAACGCGGACAGAAGGCGTATTGTGGAGGAGCTGGTGCAAACCAATCTGAGACTGGTGCGGGAGTTGCACAGTCTCCGGCAAAGCATCGGCGCCAGCGCAGCGGCAGCAGGAGAAGCGACCGCCGGAGACCGGAGCTCAGCTCAGGTTGACGTTACTGGAACACAGCAAGCAGGGCAGGGCTTAGCCCAGCCTTCTGGTGCATCCGGAGACCGGAGCTTAGCTCAGGTTTGCGCTGCGGAGACGCAGGAAGCGGTTAGCGCCGGGCTCTCTCGCCAAATGGCAGAAGCTAGCGCAAAGACACAGGCGCAGTCACACCAGCGGGCAGACACGGCCGTTGTTTCGTCGGCGAGATCAGAAGCTGACTCGGGTGCGAGTAGCGGCTCGCAGCCTCGCAGACGCCTAGTGCAAGCCGGAACATTTCCGTCGGTCAACGAGAATGTGGCACATTACAAGCGCCAACATGTGGACCCAAGGACGCGGTTGCTCCTGGACGCGCGCAACGCAAAGACGAAGCGGCGACGCGAGCGGAAATGAGCTAGTAAAAGTGGGTGCGCCGATGAAGGAGACCCAGTGCGAGCTTGCTCGCAGACGTCTAGGTTAGAGAATGAGAGGGCATGCGTAGTGGGAAGAATGACAATGAGAAGGAAATAGCGTTCGGAAGAAGTGGAATATGGCAGGGAAAAACTCGTAGGGAGAATTGAGATGAAACGGGTCGGAGTAGGTGGGAGAATTGGAAGGAAAGAGAAGTAGGAAGTGGAAGATGTGGAACGAAAGGGACGAAGTATTTGGAAGAGTTTGGAGGGAAGCATGAGATCTAGGAGAGCCTAAAGAGA